TAAGTGGATTTTATCATTTGTATGACTTTTTCTTGTAATTCTTTCCTTTCTATTTAAAGCGCATAGGGACATGCTATCCTGTAATGTGTTATGCGCTATAAAAGAAAGGGGTATTATTATAATTATTAGTATTGGCAAATTATCATTTACTTACAGCAAAAATCCAACCATGAAAATATGTTGGAATATGAACAACTTTTTGAAAAAATTGTTTTAATAAAAACTGCTAATGGTTACGTAGATTTAGACCTATATAAGAGTGAGGGAGCTCATTTATATGATGCAAATTGTGGAATTATAAACTGGGGAGGGAGTGGCGCTATTTACTATTTGACAGCAGCATCATACAATGGAGATGTTTTAATAATCAAGGTTATTCAGACACTAACTGATGGCATTCTGAAGCACAAAAAAGTTTATCTGCCCAACGCCGCACAATGCAACCTTCACTTAGCACTAGCATCCAAGCGTCACGCGCGATGTCATTTCAGTGAAAACTTTTGATGGAATTGTATCGAACATCTATTTCCATTTAAATACAAAAAATTGATTTGGCATCTTGTTTTTACCATTTTTATCGCTATAAAGAAGACAATAGATAAGGCCCATACATAATTAAATAGGCCGGTTATAGACCGCAAGACGTTTATGCATTTTACCTGGTTTGTGGTTTCTTGTGAAGGAGAAAAATATTCCTACATAAAGCACATGCAAAAAGTCGAATAGGCAAGATGTTTTTTTTCCAAATACTTTTTTGTCCATTGTATCAGCGCTGTGATCAGTATTCTATAAAAGCCTTTAACAGGAAATTCCATCCTGATTTTAGTTGGTTTTAATAAAAGCAAAAAAAATGAGAGGAACTGGTCAGTAAACGTTTAAGCAAATTCTGATTAAAAATAAGAAAGTTATGAATTGTTGCTATCAATGAAAAAGAAATTGGCAACACTCTGATGTATTTTTCATAAGAAACAATTATTATTATTAATAAACATTTTTCTTTTAGATATCACTAACAGTTGACAAGAAAAGAAAACTCCGTAAAGGTTCTCCAATATCGACCTGCCTAACTTTGTTACAACTCGATTTCTGCAAGGTAATTATATACAGTGCGACCCAGAAAAAACGAAACCGAGAATTATTGATGTTTTATCATAACTTAATCACAATTATAATTAATAAATGATACATTTTTGTAAAGCTTAGATCCTCCTCTTTCATTTGATGCAACTCATATGACATGTATGCAGGACAAGACACCAAAAGGAATACACTTGTATTTCGATGTCATATGGGCCCTTTAATTGTTGATGCACAATGTAACCAAATTTAATGCATAAGTCTTTGTGAAGTGCCTCAATAAAAATTATTTCATTCACCTGATAATAATAATAGTATTTCAATAGACATAATTTGAACTGCATACATTAATTGTTGCCAGGTAGGACAAACTTTATGGCTTGACCTACCTAGCAACACTTAATATATGAAGTTTGCATTCTGACTATTGAAATACTATAGGATTTCCCGGCCAAATTCGCGAGTTTGTCATTAAAATGAATTTGTCTTGCGTTCAAATTCGACGGTTTTAGTGCTGTCAGGTATATCTCGGGTTCATATTCCTTTTTCTAGTTTTCAAATATATGAAGTTTTCGTTAAAACTATGTATGTTTCATTCAAATTAATGAACAATGTGCTTCTTTCGCTATTTGGTCATTCAATTTGGCGCAACACGATTTTCTGACATTTTATTTTCTTGCATTTATACACTTATAATACTCATTTTTATTAGATTTATCTGATATTCATCAGCATTTAAGAAAAAACACGAATTGCATCTACGGACTTGATGGTCCTGTGGCTGCAGCGAGGTCGATAACAAATCAAAAGTCTTAACACAGGCTTCTACAGGAATTCGTATAGCTTTAATGATAGAAGAAACCATTCCATTTCGTTTCATTCCATTCCGTTTCATTCCGTGAAAACTGTGGATAAATCACATATAAAGAATCATAAATACAAGTACATCATAGCATCATAAATATAGCAATAAACAGTCTCTTTGAGAAACTCCTAAAATAATGTACATTGTGTCATGATCTTTATAACTCATTAAAATAACCCCAGTCACTATTCTAGTCCATCTGCATTATTTATAGCTTTACATAAATACAAACTCACACTACAAGTGTCGCAACTAGACTTCACTATAGCTTGTTTAAACAATTAACTAAACAACTATAAATTCTGAATCTCTATTTAGTACTTTAGCACTCTCATAATCAATCTTCAAAGTATTAGCAGTATCTTCACTAGTTATCACTGTTCTTATTATAAACTCAAATGTACATATATCATAACAGCATGGGCTTGCACGTCTTACATTACATTGCATACTAAAATGAACACGTCTCAGTAAGGAGTTCAAAACATACACACTAATTTACACTTTATGTTTCGACAAGTCATAGAAATACCAATTCATAGAAATACATTCAATATATAACAAAACTAACCTCTTTGCCTGACATAATGACAAACTTAGGACTAAAATCTCCTTGATGCTCTGGCAAAAAGGGGATTCTTGTACCTCAGCACAACCATGTTAAAGGAGCTACACAAAGAAAATTCACTAACAACTCATAATTAGAACAAATTACATATGGATGGAAAGATTTTCTCTTGAAAAACACGAACAATTTGCTGAGAAATCATATAGATATCATGGAAAGGCGTAAAATGCAATTTGTCAAGACCCTCCTTAGACCCCCGAACGCCCCTGAAAGTAAGTCAAACACACAAGCGTAGCGAGCTCTTAATTGTGACGTCACACACTGGACGAACAGCTCAGTGCCGTGTAGCAGTATGCAGCTAGCCAGCCGTGTCCCGTATGTGACGTCACAAATATTGACGCTCTGCAAAGGACCGCTCAAGGCAGAAAATCTGGATATCAAAACTAACATTTTTGAGAGTTGATTACTGCGGGCCGCAAACATATTTTTAAGAGAAGAGTTGTTGTATTTGATCGGCAAGGCTTCCCCTTCGCAATGATATGAGTTTTGCATCAATTCAAAACACTTATGATTTCTTCGTGTGGCTACTTTAATGTAGCCTTCTGAGTGTTTGATATCAAGTGGTTATCAATAGATGGCGCTATACTAGGCACCTTGCCTGAGGAAGTGCTATTACAAATATATATGTATTCATGTCATGCATTAATAGTACAAGAAACAAATGACTTGGGTGATAAAGTAATTAAAGATAAACTCCAGTACTGGTAAAAAAAAAAAAAAAAATTCTCACAGAATCAAAGGAAACTTACACTGAATGTTCAAGATTACAAATAAATGACATGTGCCAAACAATTTTGGAAGAAAATGTATACTGGCTGAGTAATGAGCATAGAAAGACAAGGAAATCAAGGAAGTACTAGCCCCGACACCATGTGTGTTGTCCCATATATAGCTTTCTATGTGAGTGCTTGTTACTTTACCAAGACTCGGTCAAATTTATTATGATTCTGATGACTCCAGAACCTTGCAGTACACACCAATACTTACATGCTACATGATCAACTGTTTCTGATCCTTTCCACACCTTTTCTTTCACAATGCAATCGCATTACCAGTACTAAAGTTTATCTTTAAGTGCAACGGTCACAACAGGTCTTAGTGGCCCGAATTCACAAAGGAGGTTTGTCGACAAACCTTTGGTTTTCGTACGTCATATGACGCGTTTAATTCACAAAGGAGGTTTGTCGACAAACCTTGGTTTCCGTGCTTCAAATGACGCGTTTTGACGCGTCTTTACAAACCAGGTTTGTAAAAAACGGGTAAAAACGCGTCATATGACGTACGAAAACCAAGGTTTGTCGACAAACCTCCTTTGTGAATTCGGGCCAAAATGTTTGTAAATTGTCATTTTTACTTAATGTCTACCCTCATATGCATTGTCTTGAACATGAACAAATGGAATAACAGAATAGACCCCAATGGCAAATCATGCATTTTAATTGCATTATTTTAAGACTGTAAACGTGTGTTGCATTTCTTTCCCCTAACATCCTAACTTGAATAAACATATTTCGAATACGAATGACAGGTGTTAATTTAAATGATAAAAATGACGCCTCGACGAGTGACGATTAATTTGAATGCTAGTTGAGCAGTTTCTAAATTAAATGACAGATCCATGAAACTCTTCGACCAAAATCCTAAATTAAATACAAAAACGGGAAAATTGAATGATAATTGGCATGGCAGAGCCGATCTGCGCTAACTTAAATGCAAAGTAAATGAATTCGAATGACAAACTCGCGAATTTCGCCGGGAAATCCTATATTATTCTTATCAAGTGAATGAAATGATTTGTATTGAGGCACTTCACAAAGACTTATGCATTAAATTTGGTACATTACGAAAATGGCCTGTTACCACACACACGAACACTCTTCATTTCCCCTCCCCAAGGTTCACACATCATACCCACCAATGGCATACACCTTGCAACATAGCGAAATTGACAATTTTCCTGCAAAATAGACCTCTTGAACCAGACGTAATTTACCCTATTCTGATGACTTGAACGCATGCCAAGATAACAATGGCTGCGTTTCCATACAGAAATAAAACTAGTATGCGTTTGTACTGACAGTGGTCCAGCGAGCGAAATGAGACAGCCGGACAAAAATGGTATTTGTTAAAAGTAGAGAAAATTAACGGAATGCATCAAACTGTCTGAATATTGTCATTCTTTATTGATTTCGTCAAATAAATTCCATACAAAATGGCTCGTTATTATTGCAAACTTAAGTCCTTTTCAGCCAAAAGCTGAATTTCAATTTCAAGAAACAAACGACATAATATTCAAGATATGTAAAAAAAAAAAAACTGTCCAAAATTGAAGAAGAAATGAGCTGCACTATGCTACAGTACATCAAGTAATATTGGCTATACAGATAGTACAAATATCAACACATGTAAATAAATGAGATTTAAGTCTTTTTAAACAAATTGGAAATGTGACATGTTATAAGTACACACTGTACTTCACTTAATTATAAACGCTTTCTGATTCATAAAGAAATTTTATTTCTGAAAAAATATATTTCAAGGAGGCTAATGTTAATACCGGGTAACCTATACACATTCCATTTTTGTGTGTGGTTTTGTTCATTCTCAAAATTCTCAAAACTCCATTCTCCTTACAAATTCTTTCTGGCATATTTTTTAGAGCAAAAGTGAAGTTGTGAGGCAGTATCATCTCACTAATCTGAAGTTTTGCAGAACCCTCAACATTACTATAACTTTCTTAAGCTATTTGCTATTTCACACATTTTCAGTGTTCTATTTGTAACATTTTTCCTCTCTTTATTCGCATTAACTTGAAAATCACCTCGATCTGTCCTTTAAAATCATCTTAAGTAAGAATGAAGTTATCACATTCGATTCGATTTGCAGTATGGTGAATCATTTAAATGCTACAGAAAATTCTAATTGGCAACTCCATGTGATCCTAACGTCATTATTCTCCATGTATACAAATCACCACAAAATTTCACATTTTCAAAATGTGGGCTGCTACAATCAAAGCAAGCTCAATAATAAAACTATGATCGATAATGGAACATTTAAGCAAGACGGCAACAACGAGAGTGGTAGTCAATTCTAGGAGACATGATTCTGCAAATACTCTTCAGATACGATAGTCTGGTAACTCTGGTTTACAATTGTATTCAAATTTAAACCTAGGTGTCTAAATATGGGGGTATTTGGACTGTTATCTTTTTAAAACCTTTCTAAATTGTTTAGACCCCAACAAGTTGATGGCAAACATTCACTCCAATTGTATAATTGAGTGAAGAGTGACGACTTATGCGAGGATTTTTGGAAGAAATGTGTTTGAAGACGATTGATGAAAGAATACAAAATGTAGGTTTTCTGCATATAATGAAGAAAAAGAAAGAAAGAAGCGAGCCAGTCTCTCAGTAGTGTATGCCAGTAAAGTCTAGAAAGCTTTGTTACAAACTACAATAATTTTACAATTACATCGCACATATAAAATATAACGAATCACACTAACGTTTTCAATTTGTATATAATTGCCTACATGCGTATGACTATTGACAAGCAATACAACACTCCCTGTTGCACCTACGTACAAATTCAACATAAGCTTCATGCCAATATATATCGTACTTTGTTCTCAACCTTGGGGGCCGCATGTCATTTTTTAATAAGCAGGAGGCCAACCAATATCTAAAGTGGTGTACGCTTGCATACTATAATACAAATTCTAGGCTTGTCCTCTCATGTGTCTAGAGAAAAATACAGTTAGTGAAAAAATGACAAATATATCAATACATGTATCCGATTTTAAATTTTGAATTGAATTACTGGTGGCATATATATATCTAATATTTACATTAGTTTCGAATTATGCGGACTAATTGCCTCTTTAAAGACAAATGCATTGCTGAAAAATGTTAAAGCAAATTTACCTGAAAAGTAGCTTTACAATAAAAATTGTTCAAATTAGGAAGAGAAAGCATACAGGTAGCAAACGGGCCTTTTTTTTATTCTGAGAACATTTTGGAAGATTTTATAATTTTCCTTACAATCCTAAAATATTAGTAACATAGGCCTCTGGATCCAAAGTACAAGCACTAACAGACTTACTCATATATACCTTGTATAGGGGAAATCAGTATGAGAAGCAAAATAATGTATGGCCTTGGGATATATGTTAAGGCCTTTAACATTTTTTCTTTCAAGTAACAATCCATATTCAAATACACCAGCACACTATGAAGCCATTTAAACTGTACCTTAAATACGTTTAGGCATCTGTACATTATAAAGATTGAAAATTTCTTGCCTGATTTCATTTTTTCTCTCGAAAGATAACAGTCAATTTCAATAATTCTTTTTAAATGAGCTGTAAATCAACATACATGTACTTGAAAGGCAATGTTGAAAGTAAAAAATAAACACCACCACTTTCCTTCAAATCTTGTTAAAACTTTGAGGGTTTATGAATTGTAAGTAGGAGTAATTAATCTTCCTACTCTCCTCAACAATAGCAACAGCATCATCCCCTCCCATATCCCTATCAAAATGTGATGCTTTGAACTATACTTGGCTATAAAAATCCATTTCTCCATCCCTCTCCAAATCCCTTGTACGATCATCTGTTCTAAAATGTTGTTTTATGTGAAATTGGAAACACAATTTACATTTTATTTTATTCATAATTTTTCTTTTTATTTAGAAGGGGAGAGGAGTATTGCTTATACCAATTTTTAAGGATTACTTTGAGTTGACACATCAGCAAAAAAAAAGCAAACACCGAAATCTTTGATGGTAACATCTCCAATCCAATAATCAGATCTGCTTGTATTATATTTTGTTAACTATTACTGCAGCATTTTGCGGCTCAGTAGGCTAACTTTGCTCAAGCATAATGTTTAATTTAGCTTATTATTGATTACCAGTACCTTTCATATCTGTACATTTCCTATTGCACGTCTGTATATCTTTATCATTTATTTCATCTTTTGCACAAGCTGCGCCTTGAGCATTTGATTGTCAAGTGGATTTGGCGCCATACAAATCTTATGTATTATTATTATTATTATTATTATTATTATTATTATTATTATAAGATGGGCTCTTCACCTGATATAGACCAGCAAATGTAAAAATTTAATTCATTACATGAAGATAGATTATCGGAATGAAAGCAACGCCAAGTCCAAAGTCATGACCAATTTTGCTTTATCCAGATCGATGTAAATGGATGACAACGTGGTGAAAATTTGGAACAACATTAAAATACACTTTTTCTTTAATGCTCACCTAAGTTATATGCAGCTACTGGCACTAATGACTAGTAATCTGAACAACAGCACAACAGCTGAAGAGACCCTTTAGAGTATGAACAGAGTTTTGATCTGCTTTTGAACTATCTTCAAATTTATCTCATGTTATTAGTACCTCCATGGCAAACTTATTTCGTAAAGATGGTTCCGTCCCTGGCCCATCGCTCTACCCTGCTTCATCTGTTGTCCCTCTGTCTTGTACAGCATGAAACCATTTCTGTTTTTATACCGCATCTTCTTTGCAAGATTCTTTCCTATTCTCATCATGAGCTCTTCGTCGTCGTACGGTCCACAATACACGCTGATGACTCCGCTGTCAGGATGTCCAGCATTGTCCTTTGCTGTATGAACCTGTAATTCTCCAACTCCGTGCAGTTCGCCAGCGTCGAACAGACTCTTCACAAGATGCCACCGATCATCAATTTCTGACGTTGGGTAGAAGAGCATCCATTTCCCACTCGTTGATGGATCATATTCATTCTCATCTAGAGGTTTACGATGCCAATGACAGAAGTTTCTCTTGTCTCTTGAAGGCGGGCGTTCTCCTGTGTCTCTTGAAGGCGGGCATTCTGCCGTGTCTCTGGAAGGCGGGTGATCTGCTGTGTCCCAGGTGCTTGCCCGTATCGCCTGAGGCTTTGGTACTTGTACCCAGTAGCTCGGGCTACTCTGGCCTGTTGCTCTTCTCCCCTCTCTAGGAGCATCTACCTTGTAACGCATGATACCAGATTTGTCTTTATATTTTGTTTTCAACGCAATGTTTTCCCCGATTTTCAACATGAGCTCTGCATCATCGCACGGTCCACAATACACCATGATGACTCCGCTGTTTTTGTCAGGATGTCCAGCGATGCTCTTTGCTGTGGAGACCATTGCATCACTGACTCCGTGCAGTTCCTCAGCGTCGTACAGATCCTTCATCAGCTGCCACATGCCATCGATATCTGACGGAGGATAAAACAGCATCCATTTCCCCCTCAAAGATGAGTCATAGTTTGTAAACCTGCCATCTTGGGACTTCGGATGCCACTGCCAATTGCTTCTCATGTCTCTAGATGGTGGGGGTTCTGCTTCGCCTGATTGGCTGTAGTTGGCCCCGAAATTTGGCCTGGGAATTGGTAACACCTGTTTGTATGTAGACATAAACTGTCCCGAACTTGCCGTTCCCTTTCCAACTATATCTGTCTTGTAGCGAAGAGTGCCATATTCGTTTGTATACGAGGTCTTCTGGACTAAATTTACTCCTACTCTCAACACAAGATCTTCGTCATCCCATGGCCCACAGTAGACCATAATAACTGCAGTACTGTTTCCCCTTTCGTTAACTGGCAGGGAGCAGACTGTAGAGACTTTTAATCCTCGAACTCCATCCAGTTCATTGTAATCAAACAAGCTTTTCATCATCTGCCATTTCTCGTCAATCTCTGCCAATGAATAGAACAGCATCCATCGCCCACTCTTTGAGTAGTCATATTCCTCAGCACAACCAGGAGGTGAACACTTGGGATAGTGCCACTGCCAATAGTCTCCCGTGTCTTCGGACGGCAGAGGTTCCGGCATTTCTGAGCTAGCAGTTCCTTCGACAGGCCTTGGCACCTGCATCTGGTAACGGTGGTTTACAGCTTGACCTGTTGCCCTTGTCCCCCCTCTGGTTTGGTCGTCTGTTTTGTACAACATAGAACCATTCTTATTTTCATACTTAATTTTTTGTACCAGATTTCTCCCAATTTTTCTCACGAGCAGTTCATCAGTCCACGGTCCACAATACATGATAAGCACTGGCATAGTATTATCAAAACATCTTGGATTGTCCATAGCTGTTGATACTTTCATTCCCCTCACACCCCTCAGCTCACCGGTATCAAACAAATCCTTTGCCATCTTCCACTTTTCATCAATCTCCGACATTGGGTAGAACAACATCCACTTTCCGCTCCTGGAGTATTCATCATCATATTCAACACAACCAACTGGTATGAACTCTCGTGGATAATGCCACTGCCACATACGTTCTGTGTCCTGGGAAGGTGGGCAATCATAGATCAGTAATCCATCTCCGATGTCCTCTTCTTCATCAGAGGCAGACTTAGAGTCATAATGGCTCTCATCAAATGCATCCTCCTCACCCTCCCTGACCATATCCACCTTTTCTACCGGGAGGTCGAGGTCTCCAATTTCCCCTTTTTGTTCCATATCTTTATCCTTTCCTTGCACGTTTTGAGGATCAACACCGATACATTCTTGCTTCGGCTAGATATAGTGCTGCTAATATTGCTGGTGTAAAACGAAGTTTTGCCGTTCAGGTACAGAGTCTAATAATGGGTTATCGAGACGATACGTGTGACGTGTACATGTACACATCACACATGTCGCCTGTTTCAATCGGTGTCAATGCGCACAAACGCAGGCAAGGGGCCAGAGTATAATTATCGGTGCGAAAGCTTTCGTCCTTGAAGCCTAAAATGCATAAAGTAAACAGCTTGTTTACTCCAAACCACTACTAAAGAGACTTAGCAAAACTGTAAGATCTCGCTTTAGAAACCACCAAATGAAATGATTGAAATGTCAAATTGAAGAAAAAGAGTTGTTCTAACTCATTAATATTGCAGTTAGTAGTTAAATCTCGTTTTAATATGCAAAAAATGGGCAAAACGAAGCGCCATTTTTTATTTGTTTTTGGCAGAAAATATTGCATTAATTTTCATATTTTCCGTCTAGACGCTAGGCCAATACTTTCGTAAATGATAAATAAAAATATATCGAAGCTCTCGTCGAAATTTCTATTCATAACTATTTTCCCTCGGCTATCACGGGAAAAAAAACGAAGGCAATGTCATCGACGACCAATGGCGAAACGTTCGCGTAAGCTTAAGTCCAGTCCCATCTATAGGGTTACGTGCATGATGGTTACCTCTCGCGGGTAGCGATTATATTGGAGCGAATTGAACACCTTGCGTGGTGTATGTTCCCTATAAACAAATTCCCAATATTAGGTAATCTTATTATCAAATAAGCCTACATTATAGATTTCTTGTTGTCAGGGCTACGAAATCATTCTTTGTTTGTAATACAATATCAATTTTACTCATGTTATCCAAAGATTTAGGATCAGAAGATGGGATCAGGATCTAGTCGTTCAGGGTCCCGCCCAGATCCAAACGGTGCCACCAGACCAGGCGGTGGTGTGAACTCCTCTAACCCTAACCCTAAGAAGACAGGATGGGAGTGGTTCGAAATAAACTTCGGCACCATGGACCTAGCCGATGATTCTGACGAAGACGGGGATGTCGGTGATGATGTTCCAACTGTGGAGACCTCCTCCCATGAGGCTCCTGGCCCGATGATGGCCGGGGAGGGCGGAGATGGAGCAGCGACGACGGCAGATCCGGGTGTGACGGAGGCAGGAGCCGGTGGAGCTGGAGGAGGCGGAGGTGACGCGTCTCCAGCTCAACCAGAGGAAGAACCAGCGCAGCCGTCATCGGGAGAACCGGCTGGAGATTCGGCTCCAGCTGATGTGGATACTGCTCCAACTACAGAGCCTGCTTCAGCCCCTGCTCCAGGACCTGGTCCTGCTCCTGCTCCTGCTCCTGCTAAACCGGCCGCACCAGATCTATCCAATCTTCCATCACTCTCAGTCACTGGTGTTAAACTCTATGTAAGTATTGTCAATCATCTGAAAATTTAGATTACGACTGATGAATTCGGACCCATGAATAAAGTTTATCCATGAATGATGACGATGTTACACCATCTAACTCCATGCATTTCCAGTGGGGAAGATGTACGATTATCAACATCGTTAGTTCTTTACGATCGGATGGAGCACCCTAATGTTAACCACGTTTAAAAACATAGATTTCAAATATTCTTTCGAAATTATGATATGACTTGATGATGATGTTGATAGTGATTTTAACGGCGGCGATGGTGATGATCATGATGGTGGTTACGGTGACGATGATGATTTTGATGATGATTTTAATGAAGATGATGGTGATGGTGATGGGGATGCAGCGCTCATGGCGCTCACTCTAAATTACGGTCACAAAATTCAACTTTCACAGTCTGTGTTTCATCTTGTGACTACAAGTTGATCATGGAAATGAAAAAGAGTCCTTCTGATTGGCTGATTTGTTTCAGGAGTTAGAGAACGCGCAAGCGCACCATACCGATGAGTTTGAACAAGACATGAGCAGGGATCTTGACCTGATCGTGAGGAGAGGTCAGGAGTTCAACATGGAGATCAACCTAAACCGGAAGTACTACCCAGAGATGGAAACAATCATTCTACGATTTGCAGTCAAAAGTAAGGATTTCTTATAAAGATGGACTGGTATTGCGATTAATAGAATTCGTTTGGATAAGGTTTCATTTTCCCACAGTTTAAAAATTGATTGTTTAGGTTCATATTGAAAAAATATAACAAGCCTGTTCTTAATCATCAGCTGAAAATTATTCTGCTTTTGGTCGGATGCTGTCTAACTTGATTTTACAACTTTTACTTTTTTTTAATCGAGGAATATGTTTCCTAGAAAAAAATTAATGTTTGCAGGTGCAGTGAGGGCAGTTCTCGGTCTTTATTTGTAATAGATATACAGCAGTTAAACAATATTTTGTATTACTCTATTCATGTACCAATTTTACTTTTATATAATTCTGACAGCAAAGATACCTAGGCCTACAAATGGAACGTTGATATCACTATCTTTAGATGGATCATTTGAAGAGGGAGAATGGAGTGTCAAAGTTGAATCAATAGAAGAAAACTCAGTCAAGGTATATGAACATTAACTTTCTGTATGGCTTCTTACCTGATAAGCCTGTATTCCTCACCCCTCCCTCATTCTCTCTCTCTCTCTATCTCTCTCCTCCTTCTATCCCCGCTGTCCTTCTCTTCCTCTCTCTCGCTTCAATTTCTCTCCCTCGCTTTAAGTCTCTACCTACTCAGAATAAATGTAAGGTCCTTACATTTCCAATATTGTACATAGTGCATATAAATATCACGTCTGCAAAGAGGGGCTGGAAATACATTTAATTTGAGACATCGTATTTGTTTGTCCTATGTTGATGTTGCTTTGCATAAGTATATCATTTATAAACCGTATTTATTGAATTGAATTGATCTTTATTTCATTTATCATAAAAAACATCATAACAAACATATACAATATAAAAAACAGCGTGCAAGTTAAAGAGAAACTTTTACAATATAGAATACACCAACAACAAAAATGTCATATGAATTTGGAAACGGCTAGGAAAGTCAAAGGCTTTATTGGCGCTGCCACCGAAACAATAATACACGTACAATATCTCTTGTTCACACGTTATGGTTGCCTCCGCAGTTATCAGTGAAGAGCGCCCCCACCGCCCTCGTAGGCTGCTACACCCTGACTATCCTTGTGAAGGGCCTCAAGTCTGGTGTCCGACGCGAGTTTGCTCAGAGGAAGAAGATCATCACCATGCTGTTCAACCCTTGGTGCGACAAGGACGCCGTCTTCCTTGGGAGCGAGGACGAGCGGAAGGAATACGTCATGGAGGACGTCGGCCTGATCTGGCGTGGGTCCTACAAGAACTTTCACGCCAAGAAGTGGAACTATGGACAGTTCGACCTTGATGTGAGAGAAGTGGTCTTTCAGCTTCTTGAGGATCACATCAAAGCAGAGGACAGTTGGAACCCAATCAAGGTAAATACAGTCAAACCTGCTTTAGTGACCACCTGTCTACAGAGACCACATTTCTTGTTTCCCTTAAAAATGGTTTCTAATTGAAACATGTATCAAAGGAACTTATCTACAAAGACCACCTGTCTACAAAGGCCACTTCTTGTGTTTCCCTTTGGTGGTCGCTATAGACAGGTTTGACTGTAGTACGACAATGCCACCTACATGAAAGACCGATAAGTGGTCTTTTCTTTTTAATACAGAATGGTCTAGGACATCAATTTGTGTTGAACGTGTAATCTATACGTTAATTGAATGAGACCAAAGGATGACATGGGCTCATGTAAACGAGAAGAAATAAGCCCTCAGACGGAGATACAAATGAGACAGTGATAGCCAAATAGAGGCTGGTATTGATCCACAATATAGAAATGGGAAAAGTGCATTTTAAGACAAAAATAATACAAGTATTATGCATGTATGACCGCAGTTTAGTCGGTCAAATGAATTAAGACTGACATTTTGGTGAATTGACCCCCTGGTTTCGTAAAATCCTAGTTAGGTTATGGTTAGTTGGTAGAACGTGCGTGGCACTGAAGACTCTGTTTCATAGCGATCTTTTTACTTGAAATCCCGAGGACATTCGACTTGGTAAAATCCAGGAGTGGTGTTCTTTTTTAATATCAAACACCTTAAAATAAAGTTAAGTTCTGGTCGTGCAATTGTATTGGGAAAAAACGGTGTGGAATCGATCAGAAAATGTTGATCATCTAGCATATAAGTATTGATGTTGTACTGCAAGGTTCTGTAATCTTAACAATGATAAGAAATTTCGCCCAGTCTTGGTAAAGTTACAAGCACTGTACACAGAAAGATGTTTATGGGACTACACAAATGGTGTCGGACCACTAACCTTGATTTCCTAATCTTTCTATGCTCATAACTCAGCCAGTATATACATTTTCTACCAAAACTGTTAGGCAAACAACATTTATTTGTAATCTTGAACATTCAGTGTAATTTTCTTTTGATTCTGTGAGAATTATTATTCTTTTTTCTTTTTTAAAGAACTCACTTTTATCTTTAAATTGGAAAGTCAGCCAAATGTGTGCACATTGCTTGTAAGACTAATATGTAAATTAGTTCTATGTAGGCTATGTGATTAGAAGATGGTTCCTCTCGTGTTTCCATTCCTAGGTGTCTCGGGTGATGTCTTCCATCATCAATGATTCTGGTAGGGGACCTGCAGGCGTGTTGGTGGGTAACTGGAGTGGGTATTATGATGATGGTATCAGCCCTACCAAATGGAACGGCAGCGTCGCCATCTTGGAGGAATACAAATCAACTGGAATGCCTGTCATGTAAGTAGAGAGCATGCCCAAATTATGTAGTGTTATATAGATGATGACGTGGATCCTAATCAAATGATTGGTTGAGAGCATACACGTGACCGGGCATTTATTTTGCCTAACACGTAATTTTGATAACGACCGGTCATTATCAAATACTAATGACCGGTCATTAGTAAAATCATATTATAAAACACCGTTTAAAAAAACAAATAAAAACTTATCTTTTTGTTCAGGCATTAGTAAAATTACCCACACTCGGTACATTCAAAACAGTCCAAAGACCCTCGGCTATCGCCTTGGGCGTGTTAGACTGTTCCAAAGGTACCTTGTGTGGGTAATTCTTACTAATGCACTCACTGCTGTGTATTACTTGTATACTGTCAGTTTTAGTGTATTTTGTCGTTGCCTCAAGAGAAAAAGGAGAATGTCATGGCATTCTTCAATCCTTGAGCCATCTTCAACCGAGCTCACTTTCAAAACAATAATTCTCCCCGCTAAGCCGTACAGCCTCTATTGAATAAGATCCGGAAGTCCGACGGCCAGTCCAATCTGGGGCCCGTTTCATAAAACTGATTATCTATAACAAATGCTAAATTTCAATGACAAATAATTATGCTCTCAGCCAATCAGATGCCATGATTTTAGTAGCTTATAACAGTAGCTTGTAACTTGTTTTTGATATCGGTTTCATGAAACAGGGTCCAGATTATCGGTTTAATTAAAAAACAAGAAAAGGTAGTGTGTGTGCCTCTATTGTTGTTGATGTTGGTTAGTGCTTCGACAGTCATTTTGACTGAAAATGTGTCCCCTTCTAGTCATGTAATAAAGCAAGCCCTACTCTGAATACATTTAAAAAGAGATACAAACAATTACGTTTTTTTGTGAATAGCATATATGCAATTCGGTGTTAGATGGTAGATGTTAGTTGTTAGGTTTTAGGTGTAAGGTGTTTGGTATAGGTTAAAATTCTTTATTATGTCGTAAGGGACCAGCACCACATAAGACTTTATTGTTCTTTCTTGCCGGTGTAATTTTTGTTCATGTTTAGTTATTTTGTTGTTTACTTATCTGTAATTATCAATGTTATAATTATGTATGTTTTTATTATGACGAATGGAATAAAATGAAATGAAAAGTCAGAAAAATGAAATATTTTCATATGTGCGCCCTCATGCAGGTATGGTCAATGTTGGGTGTTCTCTGGAGTCTTCACCACCATTCTCCGTTGCCTTGGTATCCCTGCACGGAGCGTTACCAACTTCGCTTCCGCTCACGACACCGATGACAACATGACCATCGATAAGTACGTTGACCTCTGGGGCAACGACCTCAAGAAAGGTCATGATTCTGTCTGGAACTTCCACGTCTGGAACGAAGCCTGGATGACTAGACCTGACCTGGATCCTGGACTAGGCGGATGGCAAGCTGTGGACTCGACACCACAAGAAACAAGCGACGGTAGGCACTTTACTTACACATTCATTATACCGACAGTTAAAGGTAAAGACCGTAGGGGTAAAATAGCGATTCAAGGGTTTTGGGTGCAAAATATCCATTCAATATTGTTTAAATATTGCCTTCAGAGGTTTAGATGGCAATACTTCAACCTACATTCGCAAAAAAGCAGAAATATATGCTAAAATGTTCAATGTTGAAGTGCATTCGCGATATTTATCCTGGCCGGATCGATATGATAATTTACCTAATATATCAATAAAGTAGGCGGTTTCCCTGCAAAATTTGTATCATCACGTATTAGTCAAAGCATATTTTTTACATGATTGGTAATAAAAACTTCCAATTCATTTTTTGAGAGGATGGCGTTTCAAAAACTGGTCGACTATACCAGTTAACACTATTTTTATTTATTTTTCTTGTTCAACTCAAGTGACATATATATAATATTTTATAATTGTTTGGGAACTTGCGTAGAAGAGCTGCCATATTGGTTAAGGGTCTTGACTCTCATACGAAAGATTCAGTGTTCGATCATTGCTCAGTGTTTATATCTTAATAGACAAGGGGAGTTTTTCACAAAGACTAGGATCGACTTTAAGTTGGACTTAACTATGACAGGCCATTCATGCAACTGGTTGCTCTCACCATTATTCTGTATATTTGTGACACTAGATTTGTACGCCCCTTGAGAGACCAATGCCTGTAAATGGTGAGAGAAAACAGTAGCATGAACGGCCTGCCATAATTAAGTCCAACTTAAAGTCGATCTTAGTCTTTTTGAAAAACCTCCCAGGTCGCATATGTTTTACATCCCATTGGTCTAGCTACCTTATGTCCATATCTGCCATCGCAAGGATAAATGAGCTCTTTGAGTCGGAAAGGAGCTAGATTAGTGGGGTGACCTAGGGAGGGGGACCTAATCGTAGAGCTATACAGTACACTGTATTATCAGATGATGACGTGGATTCTAATCAAATGATTGGTTGAGAGCGTACACATGACCAGGCATTTATTTTGCCTAACAATTAATTTTGATAATGACCGGTCATTATCAAATGCTAATGACCGGTCATTAGTCAAATCATGTTATAAAGCATCATTTTTTTAAAAACAAATACAAAATAATCCTATACAACAAATAATACACATTCTAATGCCCTTACTGCTGTATATTATTTGTGCACTGACGTACGTCCTCCACTGGATCTTTATTTGCCCGACTAGGAGAGTTCCAGTGTGGTCCTGCCCCTGTCATTGCTGTCAAACGAGGGCTGGTAAACCAAGGACACGACACCAGGTATGAAAGTTTGATCACTTCTTCTCAGTAGGGAGTTGACTTTACGATCCTATTCTTACACGAGCTACTGAAGATTGTGGTATCTTTCAAGTCGTAAACTTTGTACGGTTATAGAACTCTGATGACACTGCTATGACTATGCAAATTATACTATTTGGAAAATGCTGATTCGAAGGGTTGATCGAGTTGATAGTAATAAACCACGATTGGTCGAATCAAAGGTAACAAATTGTCTTGATTTTTTTTATTGTCTTAATTTCTTCTTAGATGAAGGCAAGGGAAAGGAGACAATGTAAGCTAATCGCCCCGACCCAACAACAAACACACTTTGTTGTTAAGATTTGGTTCAATAAATAAGTACTAGTTCCAGGATCCGAAATTATTCATAAATTATGTCACTGGAAGCTTGTCGTATATCCTTATTGTGAGATGAAAGAGCATTATGTATGATTTAGAACCTCTTCTTTATTTGTTCTGCTGTCCCGTTGATCCGATTGAACCCCAAACTCTTTAAAGGCCGTCTGTACTAATTTGGCTAGGAGGGATTAGACCACCCAGGGTGGTCACTGACAGGTGGCTATCTCATCAACTCAGCTCTCAATTACATAAGGAAAACAGGATCATGGGGGACAAATTGTCACCGATTAGACATTGTTTTCTATAACGAGGGAGCAAGTAGCTACAAGTAGTGGTGCCTGTTGGTCCCCCCGTGATCCCCTTTTTCTTATGTTAATTGAGAGCTGATTTGATGAGATAACCACCTGTCAGTGACCTTGCAGGGAGGTCTAACCCCCTGGCCAAACTAGTGCAGACAGGCTTTAATATGACTATAATTATTCTCCAGGTTCGTCTTCGCTGAGGTGAATGCTGACAGGGTCACGTGGGAGGTCAGGAAGGGGCGGCACAACCCCAATGACCCCATGTCAGCAAAGTTCAAACACATCAGCCTCTCCCAGAACTCCGTGGGTAGGAGCATCAGCACCAAAGCCGTGGGCAGTGATGCAAGGAATGACGTCACATTGGAGTATAAGTTTCCTGAAGGTGAGTTGTGGGGGTTTATTTCGTTCAAGGAACATGAGAGTTCCCAGAGACATTAATGACGAGGTGAGATGTGGGGGCTTATTTGGGATTATTAGCAGTGTTCCTTTGAAATGTACAGTACCTATTCATGTTATTTCGTTGATTTCAAAAAAAATATTTGAAGAATGTTCTTGTACAGCGCTCATATCTTTTGGACTTGACACTTACGACGCTCCAAGGCCTCGTCTTATAAACAGTTGCGATTAATCGCGACTAATTTGCGATTGATTTATCGCAACTATGTACATAACAGATAGGAGACTGCAAACTTGCGATTGATTGGAGGACCAGCAATTGATTTGGATCAATTGCGGTCTTTATTGGACGGTGACCTGGTTAATTACCGGCTTAAATAGAAAGTTGAGTTCTGGTCATACAATTGCATTGAAAAAAGAAAAAGTTGATCATGTAGCATATAAGTATTGGACCGTCCCAGCGGATGCAAGAATGTATCTCGATTGCCGCCATAATTTTTTTTCTTGATATTTTCGGTACTAAAATAATCCAAAAGGAATGCACTTCAAATGCCGTCGGAATCTTTGGATTGTCGCTCGAATGTGTCTCGAATGCAATTGGAACGTTCCGATCAGAATGCAAGAATGTCCCGAATGCACCTCGAATGCACTTCGAATGCCGATCGAATGCGGCTCGAATGCAATTGGAACGTCCCGATCAGAATGCAGGAATGTCCCGAATGAACCTCGAATGCTCTTCAAATGCCGATCGAATGCGGCTCGAATGCAATTGGAACGTCCCGACCAGGCTGATTGCCGCCGGAAAAATGTATACAAATATGAAATATAGAATCTGAGGCAATGTTACCGAGTCCCTTTAACCCTACAAATGCTTGTTCAGATGTGCCGGACGCGGAGGCGATTTCTTAGTTGTGTGGTGTGCGGGGTGGTGTGTACTGCAAGGTCCTGGAAACATCGAAATGATAATAAATTTGGCCTAGTCTTGGTAAAGTAACAAGCACTGTACACAGAAAATGTATACAAATATGAAATGCAAATCTACACAAACATGTGGTATAACAGACTGTTACTTGTCATATTTAGAATATGAAGGGGTTTGAAGAGCCATGCTTTTAAGGGGACATTTTTTATCTGATGTTCTTCCACACTTGCATAATAACAATGATAATGCTCACAAATTATCTTCTACCTCTCCCCAGAACTCAACCTTCTCTTTAAGGTTTTATTTCGTCAAAGATGTGGGACTGGGGTTATGTTTGAGCAAATTACTCTAGCATGTAAATGTTTTGACTGACAACAGATATTGCGATGTGACAGGTACTCAAACCCCTGCGTACCCATACATTTCTCCTCTTTTTATACAATTTTAGCTGTTTGTCACGAGGTAAAACGGAATTCTGTCTATTAGATGTATTTCATAACAAGACAGATTGATAAGAAAGGGTAAACTACTTTCAGGAATATTCACAAAAATGCCGGATATTTGCTTTAAATTTCTTTGTTTTATCACCAAGTGCAAAATATATTTGGATATTCGTATTACACAGGGTCTGCTGATGAACGTGCGGCGGTCATGAACGCGGTCAACAAGGGAATGAGCCGCGGCGTTTACCGCGAAGATGGGTCCGTCGACGATGTCTTTGTCGTCGTCGATGAAATCAGCAATGTTTGGATCGGCGAGGAATTCAGCATCCGGATCAAGACGACGAATAAATGCGACAAGGATCGTACAGTCTTCATGAAGATCAACGTGGAAAGTTGCTATTATACAGGTATGTGACGTTCACTTTATAAACAATTCATTTCGGCTTCCGCAACAAAATTTACAGGGCATGTTGGCATGTTGTCCGATCAATTATGCCATTTTTCTGTAAACCACGAAGACCAACAGAAGGTACAAATCAAACTCATTATATATAAAAGTTTTAATTGAGTGACTTTGGGAAGGGAGATGGTAAAAAATAATGAATTAATCAGCTTTGATTGACAGTATACACAGTCTGAAAGATTTAATTGAGATGTTTATTCGATCTTCATTATGTTTTTGTACAGTGGCGTTTCCAGGGAGGGGGGGGGGGGGCGGATCCCAACCCCGAAAAGATGATAACCACAATTTGTTTTGCTCAAGGAGGGGGGGGGGGGGATGTTGAGAGAAAAAACAATATATATATATATATATATATATATAAATATATATATATACATATATTGGTAGTGCTCCCTCCCCTGTTGCGCCAAAAAAAAATTTGCATACGATCTCCCTCGAAGCAGTTCCCCCAAATTCACAGCCCTGTATTGGTATGTTTAGTTGAAATAATGGTCTGCGAGATTTTCGAATTTCCGCCTCCCTTCCCCCACCCTTTTGGAAAAATATAGATCTGCGCCTTTATTTGTAAACCATCCTTGGTGTGTTTTGAGAATATGTTTAAAGAAATTCAGACTAAAAAGGAAATATAAATAATGTTGTCATCTTCTTTGTATTTGTTTCTCAGGCATTGCTCTGGAATCAATCAAGCGGGAGAAACTGACTTCTAAGATCGGTCCCGGAGAAACGATCGTCAACGAAATCGAGATCAAGGTCGATGACTACCTTGGCAAGATCGACGACCAGGGCTTACTGTCTGTCTTCGGCATCGTTTCTGTCAAGGTGAGAACTGATATGGACCTACAGGGCTGTTAATGTGATCCCCAAATCGCTAACAGGAGTTACCGACATTAATTGATAGTTAATCGGAAGAATAAGAGTGCCGTAACAAGGGAATCCCGTCGGCCTTTTCGGGGCTTTCTAAGTCGGTTGAGGTTGGGGTTCGGGGTGGGGGCGATGGCTGACGGCCGGCCGTAAAGACATGCTTTTCAGGGTGGGTACCTAACTTTTTGTTTTTTTGTTGGGGGGGGGGGGGGGGCATTTCACTCGCTTAAAAAGTTAATGCAGTAGGACGCCCCTTTAGATACTCTGTATATGCATGCTGTTCAAGAAAGTGTTTTGTAATCCAGAACCACCATGACCGTAGGGTTCTCAGGCTTGGAAAGGGCGCGTCTATATTTAAATCTGTACAAAAAGGTTGACCCACTTTAAGCTGTGGGCAAGCACCTTCACCCAACAAAAGGGTGTATTTTCATGGCAACACTTTATAGGGGACCCTAGTTTGACAATTAAAAGCCCGTCTGTACTAGTTTGGCCAGGGGGATTAGACCTCCCTGCAAGGTCACTGACAGGTGGTTATCCCATCAAATCAGCTCTCAATTAACATAAGAAAAAGGGGACCATGGGGAACCAACAGGCACCGATAAGCCATTGTTTGCTATATTGAGGGCGCAAGTAGCTATAAGTAGTGCAGTGGGGCTTTAAACCACCTCTGTAGAACCGTCTTTTTATAGAGTGCAATCTAATTTTTATCTCCTCTGTATCTCTTCCTGAATAAAAGGAGACAAGCAAAACAGCCACTATACAAGACGAGATCAGACTCAAGATTCCTGACCTAGAGGTCAAAGGTGAGGTCAGCGGGTCAGAGGTCAAGCTCGCGGTAGAGTTCACGAACCCTCTTCAAAAGACACTGATGGACTGCGAGTTTGTGGTGGAAGCTCCTAAACTGGTCAAACCATTCACAGTTAAACACCCGTAAGTGTGTTTGTTTGTTTGTTTTATTTCCGAAATCCATATATACATACAAGTTTATAAAACACATTTCAAACGATAAGAAAGTAAGTAAATGTGTAAAGTATAGACAAACGGTTGGATAGCCCATTCGTATCGAAAAAAGGAAGAAAAGTGTTTAATAGTGTAAAGTTTACAACTCACTCTATTTCAGGAACAGGAATTTTTAAAAAGTGATCAGAGACATGTAATAGTCATGTTTATTTCCCCTGCATATAGAGATACATAATGTGTTACAGTCTCGACACAAATCAACGATCTAAGTTATTTTGGTTTCTGGAGAAAGCTTTATGACATACCCATTTGTAATTACCTGTATGCCAGTTCGTTGTCTAAGTTCGGACATGTTTCCCAGACATGTACTAGTAGACTGAAAATACCTGCTAATTTTCCGATCGCAAGACGATGCCGTTCTGGCGATCTCCGTGTGGTAAATGTTTGCCGTTACAACTGCAAAACATCCTGCGGCGATAGGAATATTGCAGCTAACTACAGTCTGCCATTACAAGTTTTAGGAAGGTGTCTGAACTTTAGACACCAAAACTGTCACAAAGCAGGGGCGTCGATTTCTTTTCATGACCGGGTGGGACAAAATGCGAGGAACGAGGGAAGTGTGACGTAATGAAAAAAAAATCCGCATCATCACCGCTCTTACATGTTACATGGGGGGGGGGGGGGGGACTGCCCCCAAGCCCGAGTGAGTGAGAGGGGTGAAGGTGACGAAAAATACAACCCCTCACAGGTTTTTGAAGTTTTGTTGTATTTCAAAATTATATTCCTTAGCAAAATTATAGTATGAAAACAAACAATATACTTTTTTCACACTTCACTTTTCTATAATATTTACTTGTACATTTTGAAGGATATTATGCGAGGGAGCATAGCTCCCGAGCGCTATTCAACTTCACTTGAAATGGTTACGACCTTTTCCAGAGAGCTGAAAATCCCTTGTTTTCCGAAATTTGGAAACCTTTTTACTTGAAATATTGTATTGAAAGACGCTTTGAACATCTATACGATCTATCAACCTATATCCTGGACTCGGATGGTAATTCTGAACTTGAATTTAACTGGATTTTGTATTTGTCAACTGCCCCGCCCATTTTTGGATTTTGAATATGGCGGCAATTGCACACAGTACGTCATACGCTGGGAAAGCTGGACATGAACTCCCAACAGTTACGAACTTTAGAGGTAAGCCAGTGTTTGTTAAACATAAAGACATCCCAACGATTGATGATAAAGTGATTACAAATGAAGAGATTTTCAAATGTCTCTGTAAAAGTGTGCGTAGCTGTGATATCAAAGGAATTCAGAAAATCGGAGGTCTGTGGAGACTGTATGTAGAAAATCAGGACAAGAGAATCAAGATCATTACGAATGGACTGAATGTACGGAATGTAAACATTGCTGTGTATGACAAAAACCCATTTCTTAGAGATGAAAATGAAAATAGTCTTCGCCTTCTGATTAGGGACATACCACTATCTGCCCATGACTCCCTGATCATTGATGAACTCGAGAGACTAAAGTACAAAGTTTTGGGGACTGTTAGCTACCAACGCCTCCGCGTGGATGGGCGTTTGACAGAGTGTCTAACAGGCGACAGAGTTGTGTATATTCAGCAACCATCAACCCCCCTCCCCCGAATCATGAACTTTGGCCTTTTTAAAGGCAAGATCTTCCACTATGGCCAACTCCCGTCAACTACGAGACCTAAAGCTGTATGCTCGAGATGTCTGAGCGAAGGTCATCATCGCTCCCAGTGCAGTGGCCCTGTAGTGTGTCGCCGTTGCAATCAACCAGGACACATCCAGCAAGACTGCACCAGAGATGATACCCCAACAGCTCCGTTACATATGCAAGATCCTACTAGTAAACCTGACACCCCAGCTATACCAGCAGCCGAAGCCGCAACTGCCCCACACGTTCTAGCCAGCATCGAGAAACTCGTCGCATCTGGAAGACAACAAGCGACAATTGAATCGTCTCACAACTACCCATCGCACCATGACTACCAGACGCGCGCTCAGTCAAAGATTACGCAATTTCTGCACGGAGATAGTAGAGAGTCACCCCATGGAGCCGTTGAGAGAGTCGAAGTAAACAAACCGGATAATGTGTCATCCTCTTCCGCTAACAAGTTTGCTCCTCTCTCTAGCAATCCTGATTCCTACGTTTCGCCCTCACGTACAGATGCTTCAAGCAATGTCTCTTCATGCGATGTCGATGACGGCAGCGAAGAAGAAGCCTCCGAAATATCTTTGGAATCACCCGAGTTGCCAACACGCCGAGTGAAAGATGATACAGATAAGAGTAAAAAGAGGAAGCAAAAGTCGACGAAAAAACCACCGAAAAAAAAATGATAGATATGTCAAACAAACTTATTTCAATTTGATTTTTGTTATACAATCTTCCTTTTTCATGTAAATGTCGAATTGTCATTTCTTAAGTTTAAACGTTCGTGGTCTTAGAAATAAGGAAAAACGAAGTCAAATTTTCAGATGGTTTAGACATCAAAAGGGACACATATTCTTTGTACAAGAAACTTATTGGACAGCCGACATTGAAAAAATTGTGAAAAGTGAGTGGCGTGGGCCGTGTTATTTTTCGCACGGCACAAATCACTCCAAAGGAGTTGCTATACTATTTGATGAACACCTAGACATAGATGTCACTAGTATAGAGCAGAGTGATGATGGAAGAAAGTTGTTACTAAGAGTTAAAATGGGAACCCTTTTATTGACAATGGTAAACGTATATGCACCAACTAAGAAAAAGCAAAGAGAACGGTTTTTTAGAAATCTGAATACTTTCGTATCAAATTCTTGTGAAAAGTACGAAAAATCTAAATTAGTAATGGCAGGAGACTGGAATTGTGTACTGAATGTCAAGAAAGACACTATACATGTTCAGGGAACAAACCGTTCCTATTACAAGAAACCGATAAATTTTAGTAGATTGTTAAAGAAATACGAATTGTGTGATATCTGGAGGAAAATAAATGTTAATACTATTCAGTTTACCTGGAGAAATAAATATCTAAAACTTGCTTCAAGATTAGATTATTGGCTGGTCGATAAAAGTTTTTTAGGGAGAGTTGTAAACACAGATATCAGACCATCAATAAGAGCTGATCACAACGCAATTTCTTTAAAAATCAAAACAAAAACTGTTCAAAAGGGTCCAGGTTACTGGAAGCTGAACAGTCGTGTTCTGTCTGATGACTGTTATCATAAAAATATTTGTGATGTTATTAGTTCAATGAATTCTCAAAATATGAGTCCCCTACAGAAATGGGAACTTTTGAAAATAAAGATACGTGAATTTACACAAAAATATTGTAAACATAAAGTTGCAGATCAAAAAATAGAAAAGGGTTTTTAGAAATGAAGCTTAATGTATTACAAAAATGTATTGATAACCAAAGTGGAAATAATGATAATGAAAACGAATATAGGGTCATAAAAGAAGAGCTGGAAAATATATATAAAGTAGAATCTAAAGGAGCTGGTATCAGAGCTAAGGCAAGATGGATGGAAGAGGGAGAAAGAAGTACTAAATATTTTCTTAGCTTAGAAAAGAGAAATGCTAGCAGAAAAAACATAAATCAGTTGAAGACAGGAAATGGGAAAAGAATTATTGAAAAACAAGACGAAATATTGAAAGAAACCGTTGATTTTTATAGTAAGTTGTATACTAAAGAAGATATTGATGTTAAAAATGCAGAAGATTATATTTTTTCTCAAAATATTTCATCTCTCTCTGACGATGAAAATAAAATATGTGAAGGTTTATTAACACACAGAGAATGTAAACAAGCTGTATTCGCAATGAAGAAAAACAAAACTCCAGGCTCTGACGGAATAACCGCGGAATTCTATCAGGTGTTCTGGAATGAGATCTGTGATATTTTAGTTGCCGCTCTTAACGAGTGTTATGCTAATGAGAAAATGTCGGATACTCAAAGGAAAGGAATAATTACTTTGATATACAAGAAAGGGGATCATCGGGAGCTGAAGAATTGGAGACCGATCACATTGCTGAATAGTGATTATAAAATAATTGCAACAGTGCTTGCAAAACGTTTTCAAAAAGTAATTGGTAAAATTATTCATGAAAACCAGTCGGGTTACATAAGAGGTCGTCTGGCGGCTTGTAATGTAAGACTTACTAAAGATATCATCGAATACATGACAAGGAACGGTAAAAACGGTGCTCTTATGATGGTAGATTTTTCTAAAGCCTTTGATGTAATTGATGTAACTTTTATCAAAAAATGTCTGAGTAAATTTAATTTTGGACCTGTTTTCCAGAAGTGGGTAACAATTTTATACACAAATATTTCAAGTTCTGTAATTGTAAATGGTTGGTTATCTGAAACTTTTAGTGTTCTGAGAGGAATACGCCAAGGGTGTCCCCTCTCGGCCTTATTGTTTGTAATGGCCGCAGAATTAATGGCAAATAAAGTGAGAGAAAATAAGGAAATCAAAGGTCTAGATATTGATGATAAAGGTATTGATCTGAAATTGCTGCAATATGCAGATGACACCTTATTTTATATATCTGATATAAATTCTTTTGAAAATATTTTAATCGAATTAGAGGTTTTTGGCAAAGTTGCAGGACCGAAGTTAAATAGAGAAAAGACTGTCTTGATTTGGATTGGAACAGCCTGTCAACGATGGTCGCTAACTTGTTTTGGTTTACATTGGACAGATGGGCCAGTAAACTACTTAGGACATCATATCGCACCTGATCTGCAGTGTGCTTTAAAGATTGATTGGGAAAATAAATTAGAAAAAATGCAAAAACTGCTAGATAACTGGAGAAAAAGAAACCTGACTTTGTTTGGAAGACTGACTATTATTAAATCACTTGCAATTAGTCAAGTTATACATTTAATGATTGTTGATACAATACCGTCTACCTTTTTGATAAAACTTAATAGCCTGATATTTAAATTTCTTTGGAAAAGTAAAATTGAAAAGGTAAAACGATGTATTGTTACTGAGGATTATTGTGAAGGAGGAATACGAATGATTGATGTTAAAAGGCAAATGTTTAGTTTTAGGTTGAAGTGGCTTGGGATGTTTTTAGATAATACAACAGGAAATTGGAAAGATATGTGTAAACATTGGTTTGACTGTTTGGGAGGGCTGCATCTACTCCTCAATTGCAATTATACTGATTATACTTTAAATCTCTTAAAACTTAGAAACGTCCCACATTTTTACATAGAAATATTACATGCATGGTACCTCATAAACAAATACACATCCGCTGAATGTCAGACACAGAAGCATGTCGACGAAAATATTTTATGGTATAATCAAGATATTGTTTTTGAAAAGAAAATGTTATTTTATGAAGACTGGTATAAAAGTGGTATTATATACTTAAATGATATCTTTAAAGATGGTACTTTTGTTTCAGTAAATGAATTATTTATCCGCCTTAATACTAGAAGAAGTAAACAATTTTTGATTTTTGACTATACAAAGCTACAAAAATCAATTCCAAAAATTTGGATAAATGATAAACATAGGGTACCTTTGGTTTTCAAAGACCATAATCTCTCTATCCCCCACTTTGTATTTGGAAAATCAGTTAAGCCTGTTAGTCTTTTGAGTAGTAAACAGTGGTATAATATGATCAGTTTTGAACAAATTAAAATAAATAAATGTTGTTTGTATTGGGAAGATGTCTTGCAGAAGGACGTTAAATGGTCTTCTGTTTTTAATAGGAATTTGATTGGGATAAAAGATTTTCGTCTACGAGAATTTAATTTCAAGCTTTTATATAATATGTTACCAGTCCGTAACAATCTGTTCAAGTGGGGTCTCGCATACGATAACCTTTGTTTAAAATGCAAAAAAACTGAAGATGTGCTTCATGCTTTCATTTCATGTAAGGCAAATGAAAGGTTCTTTAAGTATTTAAAGGACTTAGTTTTACGTGCTTTCAATCTTAGAATAGAGATAGATATTGTTTTATTACTCAAAATGAATTCGCAAACCGAAATCGATTTGATAATGACTATTGCTTTTTGGTCGATTTATAAAATGATTATTTTTCGTAATAAGTATGGATATGATAATAGAGATTTGAGTTTGATTTACTTATTTAAGAGAGAAATGACTGACAGAATAGAAATAAACGAACATTTGAAAGTACAAAATATGAAATTTCCTGCGAACTTGCTTAGTTATATTTGAGTAAATAACTTGTGTATTATTGATGTTCCATTGATTTGCTAAATTGTAAGCAAAATTATGTTACTGTTTGAATATTGAATAAACACCTCTAAGAGGCAAAGAGAAAAAAAAAATAGCTCCCGAGCCAGAAGAATTTTGCATTTTTATTTGTCTAAACGCTGCACTCATGGCCCCTACAAGCCAAATAGTGTGTCGCAGTGTTTAGTCAGTATTTGCTGTACATTCTTTTTTTGCACTTTTTCAAAATTTTCGGGGGGTACGATCCCCCCCTACAAAAATCGAGGGGGGACGTGTCCCCCCGTCCCCCGGGATCGCCGCCCCTGTCACACAGTAACATAAATTTGGATGTAGATCTAATAGAATTCCTTCCTAATTATCCAAACAACCTGATGAAATTGTTCTGCAATTTATTTCATTTTTGTTTCCAGGAACATCCCGGCTGGTGAGAAGATCACGAAGGAGATCACGTTCAAGGCAAGAGGTAGGGGTAAAAAAGATGTCCTCGTTGAGTTCGACTCCCAATACCTCAAAGATGTCACTGGATCCGTGGTCGTCGACGTCAAGGAGGCATAGAGGCTCGTTCAAATATGACGCGGGAAACCCCCGAATTAAAATAAACCTAGGTGTTTTTTTTTTTAATGTGTAAATGAATAGCGAATGAGCGCAACACAGGTCATTTGCGTATTCAATGAGCTCTGTGCTCGACTTTAAGTTGGACTTAACTATGGCAGGCCATTCATGCCACTGGTTGCTCTCACTATTATGATCTTTAGATAATATTTTTTCCTTCAATAATGAACTATCAACAACAACAAATTCTGTATATTTGCGACCTTGATTTGTAAGTCCCTTGAGAGACCAGTGCCAATAACTGGCGGGGGCAAATAGTGGCGTGAACGATCTGCCATAGTTAAGTCCAACTTAAAGTCGATCTTAGTCTTTGTGAAACACTCCCAGGAGACCGACGGCTTTATGTCTTCTCCGAGGGTTTTGGTAATGATTATTAATGCCTTACCAAAGGGCACGAGCGCATTTACTTTGTTTCGAATCCGGGACCTGCCGGTTACGAGACCACTGCTCTATACCTGTGATACACTGCGACACATCATCATTGTTGTCGCTCTTCTTCGTCATCATCATCATCACCTTCATCATCATCATCATCATCATCACATCATCAGCACTATCGTCATAACAATCCTATCCATCGTCGCTCTGACATCATTACCTCAAGTAAATAATCATAGAAATATTATGTGTATGTAAATATAATTTGTTTTAAAAATCAACATGTACATTTATGTGTGAATATACTTTTATCTTACAAAATTTACAATGCAATGTATTTGAAATTTGATTTAGGTAAGGACGCCATAGTTGTATTTTCTTTTTTAGCATTTATGTAATTTCGCGGAAACATGTTGGTCTTCCACTGTATTTTTGGGTCAGAAACAAATTTCCTATAATTTTAGGATTTCAAAGTTCTAATGCAAATTATATTTGTTGTATATGAATATCGAAATTTCTATATATAATTTGTATTATTATCTTTTACAAGCCCGGTATAAGCAATATCAGTAATTTTGGGACTTCAATTGTACACTGAGCTGCTTTTTGTCTCTGTAGTAGGTGGCATACCAAATCATTATTTCAACTTAAATAACTGAGGTCACATTTTTCCGATAAATAGAAAGTATAACGTTACTTTGATTAATTGTATGCCACCAGGTGAATTTTTACGCTGAATTTATTCTTTATATCCTCAAATTTAATGATTTTTTTTTTAAACAGAAAATAACAAAATACTGTTTATACGAAAAAAATTTGTGTCGATCATGATTGTCTAATGTGTCAATTTGTTATATAAAATCAAATTATGAAGTACTGAAATAAAGAGCTTGGCAGGTCTTTTTTCCAGAAAATAAAAACTATGTGTATGGTATATCATTATCAAGGAGTCCATTTGCATAATTTTGAATAATTATTAAAAATTTATTATCACGTATTCCCTTTGCTATGTATACAAAGCATAAATAATACAAATATTATATGTAACATATAAATGAAATAATCGAATTATTTATAACAAAGGTGATTTATTCATACAAACACAGATACAGACAGCCTATTGTATTTGGTGGCTTCTACATGAATACACTTAGAGATGAATGACAACATTCTAAAAAGATAATAATAATAATCTGGATTTATATAGCGCTGAATACGAAATACCGTCTCTAAGCACTTTAAAGATATTATTACCCCGGTCATCGGATTCATTCACGCTCAATGTGCACCATCTCCACTATATGGGGAGTGTTCCTACCATATGGTCACCGTGAGGGCATATGGCAATGTCTTTCACAAAAGCTTTCGTCATCCTACCAGGTCCCCATTTCTCTCCTGGGTATGGAGTGGCAAATGTAGATTAATGCCTTGCCAAAAGTTGTTAGTGCCGTTTCGGGATTGAACCCACGACTTAAAATAAACGCGTTACAGCAAACGTACGTATGAGACATATTTTATAGTAGAAGACATAATATATCACGAATGCCACAACAAAATCAGTAAGTTCATCCCTCTATATCTATTCATCTGCCTCTACGTATACATATTTTTCCTTTCTATACAACCAACTATCTAATCATTGTGATAATAATAATTGTGATCGTGAAGGAAATGAAAATATTTTCTACCGCATTAACGTCATATCACTGATGGTCGAAGATACAACGATACACTTACTTTAACTGACTCTTGATAACCACATTCTGATAAAGAAAATAATGGTATAAACAGTAACAGTAAAATACAGAAATATTAATACTAGTAGTAACTACTAACAAAACTACTGCTACTACTACTACTACTACTACTACTACTACTACAGTGTACTACTATTGCTATTACTACTTAAACTACTCCTACTACTCCTACTACTACTACTACTTCTTCTACTTCTTCTACTCCTACTACTACTACTCATACATGTGCATAGGCCTACTCCTTTTTCTGCTCTTCTCTTCTATCTTCTTCTTCTTTTTCTTCTTCTTCTTCTTCTTCTTCGTAATTCTTATTCCTGCTCTTCCTCCTCTTCCTCCCCCTCCTCGTCCTCCTACTTCTGCGACTGCTTCTACTATTAGTGCTACATTAATATCTTCTCCTAATTTGTGCTTCTTTGTAACTGGCAAGGATTGAGGATTGTGTAGAAGGATATTGCCAAAGCCGTATTTATGCTTTAAGATCGACAATCATCCCGCTTAATTTCTGTGTCATTAGAATAAAGATCCTTAACTCTGAGAAGAAAAAAAATCATGTTGAACCAAAGAGATATCCTCCTTGGTTGAACAAAGAAAACGGAGCATGACATCTCATGTTTTTGTAACTTAAACAAAAATCTAATACCTCTTTAGTTCAATACCTCTTTGCAAACTGCACTGCTATACATGACATTTCACCAAGCGAGAACTTATTGTAAATTTGATAAACAAAATTGGTCTTGAATCCAATACATGGGATTACAGCACCAATATGGAATGTAATATTTCTCAGCACCTGAACCTGTCGTTAAAATATGCGTAGTGTTTCTTTGATTATAATTATGAGATAGAAATTGCCTCCAACATTTTTCAAATAAATATTCCACATTAACGATCATTCTTAAAATTCAACTAAATTTAAATGGCAGGGTGCAGGCGTCTTTTCCCCCCTCCTAGTATCAGTAGCCGGCAGGTTTCCCGCCTTTTCTCGGGTCCGAATAGGCATGTATTTCGTCATCTGATCGCATGATAGCCTGGATAACAGCGAATATTGTTTTCTGCTCAGTGAGGTCGTGGCCGAGTGTTGTTAGTTGGTCAATCATGTCCTATAGTATAGAAATACAATGGAAGTAAAATATGAAGAAGAATTAATAATATTTAAAGGTAATACAAAGTTTTGGGATATTTTGAAAATTGGCTGGATAGCGTTTCTTTACAATTTTGATATATTTGGATGCCACTGTGGATGTATTATCAGCACTAGAAAATTTAGCCCCTAAAACACTTTTGCTTTCGAGTAAAATTGAATATTAAATAGCGCTTACGGCCATACAATAATAGCCGCGACCATGAACATATCAGAATATGTAGTTGTGATGTATAATTTCCAAACGGAAATACCCAATCGGTCGAGTTTAGTCAAGAAGCATTGTTTTAAGGCTTAATTAATATCTTGACCTTAAGAGTGAGCTATACAACATAAAGAGTTTATTATTTACAATTTCATAACTTTTGACTCAATTTCAACCGCGACAACGATTACGGAATATTGCAGGATCGCATATGCTTCTAATATGTTAATTTGAACCAAATTCATTACCCCATACCAAAACTTTGTATTTACGCCATTATAATTAAGGTTTTCTGCGTACAACAGAAAACCCAAATATGGTATTCTGTCATCAATATTCTTCTTCAAACACATAGGCTTTGAAAATTCTCGCAGACGTGGGTGTTACATAACATCCTCTTTCACGTCATTATACAATTTAAATATATTTATGCCATACAATGTGGGGAACGTTTTGGGATACAAACACTTTCGAGCGGCTTTAAATCGTTTTTAAACCCGGCATTTGACTGCGACACTTCTAGACCCAGGCCTCTCATACCGAAACAAAACATCGAGATTTAAAATAAAACGTTGTACTTACCTGATCGAAACCACTCTCGTATATTTCAACTATATCAGGTCTAAGCTCAGCGTGTATGAGTTTTCCATCTACTGCTTGCGAGAGGGGTACCTCACCTAGCATCGTGCTGAGAATAACCTGACGGATTATAAGGACAAAGATGAACCGTAAGGTAAGAATTTAATTTGGAGAGGGAGTATCAACCGCCGTCCCTCACCAATGCCATAACGATTGCATTAAAGTATTAAAGGAAGATTAGTACCTTGACCTAATAACCTTTCTAAAGAATGAAGGGTAGTCTTCAATCATCATGAGGTATGATTAAACTGTGACGGAGCCAAATCTCATCACAATGACAAAATACAAGTGTCTTTTACTTCGGGGAACAAGATCTTTTTAATATTCACGATATCGATTCACTGAACTTCATCAAGCTTCAATCTATCATATACCCAAACATTTTTAAAGGTCAATTTAAATGATTTCTCTTTTAATTTCATGATGATATTTTTATGTCTCGGTATATTTTCAGAATTTAGGTTGGTCGATAAAACGATAAACGATAAACTTCCCCTACGGAAAATAGGGAGCTGAAATTACTTCATCGCTATATGCATCATTTTTTAAATGAAATACAAATAGCATTAATATGGTTAACCAATATTACACATTATAAATGAATTCAATGAACAAGTACAAGATTTCAAACGTACTAAATAATCAATATGAGCTTCGGAGCCTAATGTCATGTCGTTCGTATCGACTTTAATTACTGCCTTAAAATATTAAAATATTGATGTAAATATTGATGTTAATAATGATTGATTATTATTAATCTTGTCCTTATTTTGATATTTCTTTAGTTCATGAATTAGTAGTTATGTGAAGATGAAATGCGCTATAGAAGCCTAGGTTATTATTATTATAATCAATCTGATCGCTTATTAAAGGGGGACCTAATTAACGTTCAGCGCGCGCTAGCGTTCGCAAAACAGACCGAAGTTCTCCTCACGCTCTGGTTTCGCGTATGTTGCACGCACATGAATACTGCGGTCGCGTCCGTCCTAGTCGAATTATAGCCGATTGGCCCCGAGTCAGGCCACGGGAAAGACACGTATAGTCTCGTCATACACACCCCCTTTAAATGTGAGCATTTTGCATCTTAATTTAATCTCTTACCCAAGCATTCACTGTGATGATTTTCTTACTCCCCGCACTTCCCTCGACCAGCTGAACGCGGCCTTCCCTGTCGATGACGATGGACCCACACATTGCCGAGAGAGGGCGTTTCCCGGGCCGGGCATAATTTGGGGAGGCTGAATCATAGCTGAAGTCTGACATTTCGTTGTTGTAGATGATACCGGTGGATCCTGATCGAATCTTGCTACCAAATCTGTAGGAAGGGAGAGGAGAATGGTACCAAAAATGTTACCAAATCGACCAAAAATATCAACCTTGGGCAATTTTAATAGACGTGTTCACCACCCTTTGACATTTTCGCACGTGTCAGTGAGGGGCAGGGGCATTGAAATTGTCCTCAAGTTGTTGTTTAGAAAGTCTTTAATTGCGATGGTATTTTCAGCTGATCTAACATGGAATAGTCTCAGTAAATAAATCACACGTGACCACTTTTGACCAATCATTTGGTTAGGATCTAGGAGTGAGTCGTATAAAACCACTTTGATCAATATTACAATCTACCAAATAGTAAGGTAGAATGATAATAAGAGAGAGAGAGGGAGAGAGAGAGAGAGGGAGAGAGAGAGAGAGAGAGAGAAAGAGAGGGAGAGAGAGAGAGAGAGAGAGAGAGGGAGAGATGGAGAGAGAGAGAAACAGACAGGTACAAATGTTTCATTACCTGTAATTGACTGATGTAGTAGAGGATACTGCGTCCCCATTGGCTGCAAGTACGTTCACGTGACTCGTACCGCCTAGGGTGGTAGTAATTTGAGGCATGACGTTGTAATAGCTTGAGTTCGTGGAGTACACCCGGTTAGTAGGGATGGATGCCGCTATTTCACGGGCGTAGTCAATAGATGCGAGTGCATCTAATGCCTGGTGGATATCGGAGTTTGAACAAGACACTATATTAGAACAAAATAATGACAATGACTGACGATCAAATATTCAGAGCATGTATAAAACAGAAAACAAATGTGTGTTCCCAAGCAAGCTAAAATGAAAGCGCCTCTAATATTTCTCTTAAGCGCTATCTGATGTATTTATGTGCCGCCTCCGGGCCCCGTCTTATAAACAGTTGCCATAAATCGCAACTTATTTTCGATTGATTAGAGGATCCAGGATATTGACTACTACAAAAAACAAACAAACAAAAAACAACAATGAAAAGAAGCAAATACTCAAAAATATGTTTCGGTTGCCTGCAGTTGTGAGGGTTTATAATGAGACACACCGCTATGTAGACCCCCCCCCCCCCCCCCCACTCTGTGTTATTTAGGATACGCGTATGCATGTTCCCTCCCTTTGAAAGCACCACCGCCCCCCCCCCCCCCCCCCCCCCCTCCCTAAGTCCGAGGTGTGCAAAGTCAATGCGGGCCGATTTTTTTTGTGTTCTACTAGCCGGACTTTGTTGCGTGAAAAGCACCCCTTTACCGGAGATTTTGGAAACATGAATGCGGTCCCTCTGTTCCCGGAGAGGGAGGGGCATGTAGACTAACCTGTTGTACACCAGGAGTTTCTTCGTCTCCAGTCCTACTTCTTAGACCAAAGCCGAAGCGACTGGCTTCCAGGAATCGATGATAGGTTCTCACCAGGTTCGGACCGGGTTGGAAGTCTTCACGTGTTAAATTAAATGCTGCGAAAACAATCATAACGTTAATTGTTTACAACATAATTTGATTGTTTAGTGGTGTGTTTTTTACCTGACTGCTAAGAAGCCATAACTGCTTGTTAGTAAACAACCAGAGGATCGACGGCTTTAGGTCCTCTCCAAGGGAATTGGTAATGAGGATTAATGCCTTGCCATAAGGCACTAGCGCGTCGACTTGGTTTCGAACCCGGGTCACCGAATTACGAGACCACTGCTCTATCTACAGAGCTATCGCGCCTCCTAATTAATCCCAGACACAAAACCCGGATGGGTTCAAGGGGACACAAATGCTAATAAAACAGACACATCCCCAAATAAACCGACTCTAAACGGATCCGAAACTGACCTATTCTTAGTCGTTATTGGCTGTATTATTTTGCTCGGTCTGTTCTCTGCCTGGGGCCAGTTTCTCAAAATCGTCATTATGTCTAAGTTCGTGGACATCTCAATAATATTAAATGGGTGTTACCTAAAGCGTTCTAATATGATGTTCACGAACTTCGACTTGTGTGATATTAATAACAACTGCCACATATTCATGACAAATCCTTTCACAGCCAATGAGATGTAAGGATTTCAGTAGCTTATAATAAACATCGTATCCTCCTATTGATATAAAGTTTCATGAAACAGGGACCTGGTTTCGGGGTCGAGGTGTGACAGTGGTATATCCTTACATGACATGACGTTGACAATGAACTGCAGTACTGCACCACCAGACGGCGATGGGGGCGCTAGTAACATCATACCATCACGGATCGGGGATGTCAGGGCGTTACCCGATCTTGTTGAATAAGAGCTCAGATCCCGCAAGGTTAGGATACCACCTAAAATAGAGATGAAATATTATATGTTTTGATTCAGAAAAATGTTGAAACCATTGATGAAATCGAATCAAATCAAAAGGGTATTTGATAAAGTGCGCTTTCCTTGGAGATTAAAAGCGCTGCAAACTGTGCTTTACATGTGTTATATTCTTCCCCTCCTCCCTCCTTTCTTCCCCTCCCTCCCCTCCTTCCCTCCCTCCCCTCACTCTCTCTCTCTCTCTCTCTCTCTCTCTCTCTCTCTCTCTATACCACCCTCTCTCCTTCCCCTAGTATACATCCTGGACCGTTTCCGTGTCGCGCGCCCAATTAGCTGAGGAAATAAAACGCCCTTAACGCTGAACCGGGGACAGTATAGTCCTTGCCTCTCATTCTGTAGTTCTTTTCGACTGTTGTTTTGGGGGATAATAATAGTGATAATATATAGCACTAAATACAAATGTCTCTAAGTGCTTTACAGATATACTACTACCCCGGTCATTGGGTTCAATACTTGCTCGCATACACTGTGTGCACAATCTCCACTCCCTGGGGAGCATTCCAAAAACTGATGAGTGGAGATACCGCGCTGTGTGTGGGATGCGTGTGATTGAAGAATAACAAATATATATAAACGGATACAATCTTGACTATCCCTCCTCACCCCCTCTCTCTCCCTCTCTCTTTTTCACACACACACACACACACACACACTCTCTCTCTCTCTCCCTCTCTCTCTCTCTCTCCCTCTCTTGATAATCGTCAAAGCCTACCTAATTCCTCCACCTCATCGATGAGTTTTTGGGCCGTAGCTCCAGTGTAGAATTCATCAGAACCATTCACTGATATAGCACGCAAAGTGTTTGCCAGGGCGATATTTATTACTAGATCACCTTCTCGCTTTCGGCTCCCATCTTCTCTCAAGTAGATATCCCTTTAAGAGAGAAAATTAAAAAATGTTTGAAGGGAACATTTATTTAGTTGCAGCAATTTCTGTTTCAGATTTTTACCTCAAAGTGGGTGGGTCGTCACTTTCCATGTGTAGAAGCTTATAATTCGCTGATACCAGACTTGGTTGAAATACTAGACTAGTCTGCTCACACCAAGTGAACATCAATGAATATAACCCTCTCCCCCTCCTCCCCCCCCCCCCCCCCCCCCCCACTAATTGAAATAAAATATAAAAAAACGAAATGAAAAGGAACTAAATGAAATGAAATAATGCAACAAAGAATAAAATGAAATACACACAAAAATAGAATTTAGAAATGAATAAATAAAATAAAATAAAATAAAACGAAACAAAACAAAATAAACGAAAGTAAGATAATATAAAACGAAAAAAGATAAATAAAAACATACCAGGCACCATCATAGTCGCTCAAAGGTTTCACTAACTCCATTTTGCGTAACGTGTCCTCGAGATGAGCTGATGCTCGGTAGCCTTTCTCTGCGAGGTCAATGACCGGTGTAAACAGGTCCTCCCAAGGTAGCTTGCCATACTTTTGATGAGCGTCCCATAGACCGCGCACCTCACCCGGAACAGCCGTGGAATTAATACCTGGAAAAAGAATGGGAGAATGTCAAATTGATTTATAATAATAATATTCCGCTTTTATATAGCGCTTAATACATCGATGATGTCTCTTATCAGTATCCCGGTCGCGTTATTTTTTTCTGCGGCACAGATTGGGGTTAGGTGCGTGTTGAGCCTATGGGAAAGTTTAGGGTTAGGGTTAGGGTTAGGGTTAAATCAAGACCTCTTTTAAAAAAAAGCCCCAATCTGTGCCGCAGAAAAAAAATTATGCACCCCGGTCATCGGATTCGGGCTTGCCCGCACACAATGTATGCACATTCTCCACTCCACTTAAGCGCACACTTGCTCTTCTAATCACATTAACTTTCACACTGGGTATCCATTTAACACCTGGGTGGATAGTGGCAAATGTTGATTAGCGTCTTGCCAAAGGACATATAGTGCCGGCGGGACTCGAACCCCGTACATTGTGATCGACAGTCCGGTGACGTATCCACTAGACCCCAACACTTCTACGTATTCTTCCTCTTCATCTTCTTTTTCTTTCTTTCTCTTCTTCTTCTTCGTCTTCTTTTTCTTCTCAGTCTTCTTTTTTCTCTTCTTTCTATCCTTCTTCTCTTTCTTTGTTTCTTTATCTTATTCATCACCTTCTTCTTCATCTTCTTCTTTTTCTTTCTCTTCTTCTTCTTATCCTTCTTCTTTCTTTTTTCCTTCTTTGCAGATAAAGTGCAGAATTCAGGATTTCTTTCAACCACCCGCAACTCCAAAACATTTGAATGCACACGCTATCAATGAAAGTGCCGTTTTTAATTAATATGTATTGAATATACAGAAAATAGCTGTGACGGTGATCCAAGTATAAATATTTGGAATTTAAGGTTAATACTTAGTGTAAATAATTATGATCTATAAATATATGATTTAAAAAATGCCAACAAAATGAACAGTTTGACTTTCCTAATTTGCATAATGAGTGCGCGAATATATAATTAGCTGAAATGACCTAATTTGCATATTTGATGAATATTCATGATTTTTTTAAATTTTTCAAATAAAATATATTTCCATACCAGTCTGATAAACATAGGTTTCACTGATGTATCATGTTCGGTTTTGATTTGATTACCTATGCGCATATTAATTAGGCGGACTTGATTATTTTCACAAAGTTTTCATATCTGAAGATTCCCAAAAATGACTTATTTTTTGGGCATCTGTTTTCAAAACGGTAATAGATATATGAATTTTCTTTTTTGTATTTATTACCACAAAGATGATATTTTAGTGTCTGATAATTTAATTTATTATTTGTGTCCAACAAAGTGATGAATTAAGTTGTCAACTTTGTCGAATTTTGCCATTTTTTCCAATTTGACCATTTTTGGCAGGTTTTTCGGTAATTTTGCGATATCAAAAAAATAGTATAAAATCACAACGCATTGACCGATTTCAATTCTGTTTTTTGTTTTTGAAGCTTTCATAAAGCTTGATCATTTGCAACCATCAAATAACATGTGTTTGTTGTACTTATTTTTGGTGTGCTATATATTAGTTTTTCTTAACTGAGATGATGTAACGAGTGCTAATTTTCTTAAGTATTTTATTTTATTTTGTCAGAATGTGAATCTTTGGAATTCGGTTAACTTATGAAAGAGTGTATGTGAGGAGAGAATTGGGAAATAACGTCTCGCAAGAACTAGTTCCATATATATATATATATATATATATATATATATATATATATATATATACATATATATATTTTGGGGGGAGGGGTAGGGCTTCAAACGGTTCCAAGATCACTTCTCTATCACGCCTTTTTATCTTAATATTTAAAAAACTATTCTGCATAATTTATTAATAGTCTCAATACCATTACCGATTCAGCTGATGAGCTTAGTGATGCCAATCATTAATAAAACGAGGATTCAGTGACACACAAACGTAACTCCATATTTTGGTTTAAGAATGAGTATTTGATATCAAAATGTTCAGAAATGTGGGATTTCCAGGAAACGCAAAGACTCAACTCCCCAAAACCCCATCTAAGTCAATGGCTAGCGAAAAAGTGCTCAGTGACACATAAACCACTTGTTCTCAAAATGGCCAAAATGAAGTTACAACTTTGTGTCACTGACCCCTCGAAATAATGAAATTCTTTCTATTAATGATAATTACCTGTCGGGGAGCCAGCAGCCAACCTACTGGCCACGTACGCCTCATTGGCTCCCGCTGGCGCCGTCTCTCTGGCGTCGATGAAGTGTGACGTTGCGTTGGCTGCGTCGTAAATGACCATGAAGAATCCTCCTCCCAACCCCGAGCTCTGGCCGTTTACCAGCCCTATACATAGCTGACTTGTGATGGCTGCATCTACCGCCGAGCCGCCCCGTTCGAGTATATCTCTGTGTGTGTGCCGGGGATGAAGGGAATAATGACGATATATCAATCATTGCCTACTCTCTCTCCAAAAAAGAGTGAATTTTCACTCTATTTTCACTTTCTTGGAAGTGACGTCAGTGATCACTTGTTTATGAGTGAATATCGATTGATTTTAAAGTGCTCTCTAAGAAGAAAAGAGTGAATGTTCACTCTATTTTCACCACATTTCAACTCTCAAGAGGAGTGACGTCAGTGATCACTCGATTTTTTTTAGAGAGTATTTTCTTGGCCAAAGAGCACCGAAGCTGTGACATCATAACAAAACTATTTTTTAGAATTTCTCAATTTGAAATTCATTTTTCGAAAGAGCATAACAAATGATGTCCAAATGTCGAAAACCGATTGAATATGTTAGATATTTGCTGAGATATGACCATCTGAGTTAAGGAACTCAGCGTTATTTAATCTTATAATAATAATAATAGGCATTTCTATAGCGCCGTCTATCTATAAATTCTATTCCGAGACGCATTTATTATTAACCCGGCTTTTGCCTAGCTGCCATTACAGCGCTCCAGCATTTCAAGGAAACAATTCCTGCCAGATACCCATTTACCTCACCTGGGTCGAGTGTGGCAAATGAAGATTAATGCCTTGCCAAAGGACATTAGTGCCGTGTCGGGTATCGAACCACGACCTTCGAATTTCAGGTCAAGTGCTTAAACCACTCGACTACGACACTTTTCTATTTATTCAGATGGTAATATCTGAGCGAATACTAAACATATTCAATTGGTTTTCGACATTAGGACATCATTTTTTATGCTCTTTCGGAAAATGAAGTTCAAATTGAGAAATTAGTTTTTTGATGACATCACACTTCACCACTCTATTGTAGGCCTACTTCATGAAACTCTAGAAATTTGTTTTATCAGCCTACATAATTATTTTATTAGGATTTATCTTGCTTAAGAATTTCAAACTCAGCTATCAGGTTTAAAACTGTCAGCATGATCGTATAGACTTTCAAAGAAATATTCAAGGACGATTTCATTATTCTTATTGCATATCCTTTACAAATCATGTTCAGATTCCAAAATGTTCGCACATTAAAATATAAGTAAAAACATAACTATTATAACTTTGCCCATAATTTTTGAAATATCACTAGCCTTCTATTCCCAAATCCAGGAATGTCTTTTTCAAATAATATATCTAAACGTCTTGTTTTATAAGAAATCGTTCGCGGCTAGATGGCCGAATTGCTGATATACTTTTACAATCAAGATAGATAAAGCGGATACATAAATTAATAATGATAATAATACATTACATGTATCAGTAAAAATGCATCATTTTTGACATGTGGAACGTTCCCAGGCGTCACTAGTAAAGGTTCATCATGATAAAGATGCATGTAGTAGGCCTATGGGTCTACCGCATCCACATTCTAAAGTGAGCAAATCACTTATTTTAGCAATTATTTAAAATAAATTGTATTCCATACTTTCCCATAGTGGAACAAATCTCTGTGTCGGTCACCACAGCAGCATTTTGATACACACTGGACTTCTGATCATTAGCGCCCTTGGACCGCATGTTTTGGTGAGTTGTTTGACTACTCAGCACAGCAACGACAACCGTGAAGACAATGGCTACCAAAAGTCCTACGGTGAGTAAAATACAGCATTTCCATGAGCCACCGAACCTGTTATGAAAAATGTGGAAAAGGTAGAGATGGGTGGGTGAATAAGAAAAAGTATTACAAAAAGGAAGGAAGACAACGCTATGTTTTGCGGCAAAAACTTGTTGCTCCGAAACTACGGTTTAAACCAGGGTTTAAAGGTAGGTTACCCCTTTTGCAGCCAACATCAAATGTTGTACTTGAAAACTTTGCAGGAAATTTGAATATGTCACGTATGTCCTATCTATGGAATTTAAACGTTAGCAATGTCCTAGTATTCAAAATAATTATGCAAGTAAATCCGTGTACTTTCTAGACTTCACTGTCAGACACTATTAATCAAGTGACCGACCGTCGACTTTTTTTTCGTTGGTAATAACATACATAAATTGTGCTTTGAAGTCATTCGGTAACATTACCTCAGGTTCTGGAACAAACTCCTTTACATATATGTTGCAATCATAATTTTAACTTTTGGTCAGTCAGGAATCCCATTATTTTTACAAGCCGATCGCCTGTCTGATTATCAAGATATTTACTAATTGGAAAGTTCAGTTTTCGTTTTCCTAACGGTTCTTTTAACACTACATTCTATTGGGAAAAAACGAGTATGGTAAAAACCGGTCACTCAAAGATTTTTCTTTTTTGAGGCACTTCATGATCATGTTGAAGCGCGATATCTTAAGGGCTTCAATATTAATTATACCATATCACAGACACTGATAACACGTAAGGGCTTGCATCCCAGATTTAAAATTCTTAAACGATATAATTTCGAAAGTGCAAAAATAGTAAGCGGACACTTTTATTTATTTATTTTTTGGTCTCGAAATTTGAAAATTTGACATTTTTCTTCGTCGGGGGGGGGGGGGGGGGGGGTAAGGTCACCTTTTTTTAGGTTAGCCGTGGGCATATATTTTTTTTTTTTTTTTTTTTTTTAATAATAAAAAAAAAACAAAGAGGGGGGGGTTTAGGTTTTTTTAGGGGGGTTTACACACATAAAAATACAAAAGGGGGGGGGTTTGAACCCCCCCCCCTGCGTACGCCCCTGGCTACGGTCACAAAGGTTCGTACGAACGATTATTTCGTACGAATCTCCCTGTTTTTCCATTGTCTTCCCGAATTTCCATTGTCTAAAAATCGTTCGTACGGCATTCGTAGCAGTTCGTAATGGCATTTGTGACCGAGGCTTTACTCGGGAGAAGAATCTTGAATTGCTTTTCAACTTCAAGTGAATGCAATTTCAAGTTAACAACTAAATTATTCATACCCCATGTAAATTAAATTAAATATTTTATGTGTTTTTCGTACAAAGTCAAGAATAAAAGGTAGTCTGGTTGAATAAGGCCCTTTTTGAATACTTTTAGATGTAAGCTGTAATAATTCACATTGTCAAGAAGCATAAATCAGAACCAATCAATTTTTCACAAACTTAAAGTAGCCACACGAAGAATCAAAAGTGTTTTGAATTGATGCAAAACTCATATCATTGCGAATGGGAAGCCTTGCCGATCGAATACAACAACTCTTCTCTCCAAAATATGTTTGGGGCCCGCAGTAATCAACTCTCAAAAATGTTAGTTTTGAGATCCAGATTTTCTGCCTTTAGCGGTCCTTTGTAGAGCGTCAATATGTGTGACGTCACATACGGGACACGGCTGGCTCGCTACATACTGCTACACGGCACTGAGCTGTTTGTCCAGTGTGTGACGTCACTTTTCAGAGCTCGCTACGTTTGTGTGTTTGACTTACGTTCAGGGGCGTTCGGGGGTCTAAGGAGGGTCTTGAAAATGGCATTTTGCGCCTTTCCATGATATCTATATGATTTCTCAGCAAAGTGTTCGTGTTTTTCAAGAGAAAATCTTTCCATCCATATGTAATTTGTTCTAATTATGAGTTGTTAGTGAATTTTCTTTGTGTAGTTCCTTTAACTGTATGTGTCAGCGGTGAGTTCTTGAGATCATCCCACCTTTTATCCTATCGAAATTTTATAGCAGGGGGTGTTTCACAAAGACTAAGATCAACTTTAAGTTGGACCTAACTATGACAGGCCATTCATGCCACTATTCGCTCTTACCATTTACTGGCATTGGTCTCTCAAGGGACTTACAAATCATGGTCACAAATCTACAGGATTTACATTTTTTTGATAGTTCATTATTGAAGGAAAGAATATTATCGTAACTGAGATCATAATTTAGAGACCAATGGTGATAGCTATCAGTGGCATGAATGGCCTGCCATAGTTAAGTCCAACTTAAAGTCGATCTTATTTTTTTTTAAACACCCACGGGTTGCTAAAGATGGTCATGCGTGGGTACATAGTCGTTCATGAAGTAGGCAAGTTGGCGATCACTACATAACACTGAGCCAACGGGTATTATGCTTCCGTACGTAAACAATTGTGCTGCCCTCTATATACCCACGCATGGACGACTTTAAAGGTACACTGTCCTACTTGTAGCTACTTGCTCCCTCTATATAGAAAACTTCCCCAATCGGTGCCTGTTGGTCCTCCATAATCCTCTTTTTCTTATGTTAAATGAGAGCTGAGTTAATGAGATAGCCACCTGTCACAGTGACCTCGCTGGCTCGCTGTGTGGTCTTAACCCTTCTGACTGAAGTAGTAAAGCCTCCCTTCAATATAAGCATGAGATCTTACAGCAATATTAGCGATCTGATTACAGGCTTTTTAAAAGTTTCTGTTTGTTTAAAGTAATGCTTGCTTTTCCATAATTTTATTAAACGAAACCGTTCCACTGGTTGTCTACCCTAATAAAAAAAAGTAAGACTTCATGCATGGCTGATTGTCAACGAAACAGAGTTTGTTGTTTGTTGCTACGGCAGGCAGCCAGTAAGCCCGTAGCCCGTAGACATGTCGTAGGTGGCATTGCACAATCCCCGCAAGGACATTGCGTGGAGGTCTCACGCTGATCGTGCAGCAAACGCACGATTTTTCAGTGAACAAGGGGGCAACAGACGCCGAAAAAACGGCAAGGAGGCTGCACGGTCACCGCGCCTTCTCCGCGCAACCTCTGCACGGAAGCTGCACGAGCTCCGTACGATTTCCGTGCGGAGGTTGCAGAGACTGCACGGGTGTTGCACTGAAATTGCACGATTTCCGTACAATCTCCAAGCAGCCTCTGTACGGATGTGTCCCGGTCTGCCCCCGAGGGCCAATACAAGAAATGGCACGATGCTCATAGATAATGTAAACACAAACATCGTAGCCCGTAGCCTCCTACGATGCCCCCAAATCGCACGAAAAATCGTAGACCAATTTATCGTGCGGCGCCCGGGCCAAATGTAATCCAGGCATTAGCAATTCAATCTCCGATTTACCTGGAGTTATCTTTTTCAACAATGTCAGAATTAAGAAAGTAAAATCGACCAAGTTTCTTAGCCTGTTTATTGATGCTAGAATGACCTGGATTTTTTTTATATTTGTGTTCATTACTATCAAGAAAAGCTGGTGTGTTATACAAACTGAAACCTATGTTCCCATCATAATGTATTACAAATGTTGTACTCCACTTTAATGTTGCCCTACTTGAACTATGGTATTCTTGCCTGGGGTAGTTCATTGAAACTTCAACTGGAACAAATCCTGGTTGTGCAAAAAAGAGCAATACGAACAATTTGCAATGTACCTATTCGTACTCACTCGAGCCCTCTTTTCTTTAATACTAAAGTACTGAGAGTTCGGGATATTTTTGATTTACAATTAGGCTGCCTCATGTTTCAGCTGAATAACAACGAACTGCCCAAGGCACTATCTTATTTGTTAAAGAAAATAAATCAAGTCCACGACTATCCTATCTGACAGGCGTTTACCTATCACCTTCCTATAGAACGAGAACACGCTTTGCTCAAAATACCTTAGTCCTAAGTACTGGAATTCTCTCGATTGTGTGATTAAAATGTCTGTAAGTGTTCATGTATTCAGAAGAAAATTGAAATGTTATTATTTGAATACATATTGTCATTCCTGATTCCTGACTATTCTTGTCTCCAAGCTATATACTTTTGTTCATTACAATGAGTAAATAACGGTATGACCATGCCAACTATGTTTTTAATATACTCATATCGAGAACAAACTATATTGTAATATTGTTTTAATAAGCTGCATATATATATGACTTTCCCTTTTCCTTGTCTTTTGTAGTTAATTGTGAGTATCGGTTCATGTATCCTTGTAATCTCACTTTCCCTGTTTTAGCGTGTATTTGTATTTTATAAACTTTACTGTAGTTAAGTATGTCATTTGTAGTTTAAGGAGCCTATCCACAACGAGCTCTGCTTTTCCATAGCCTCCGCCACTATATCTCTTAAGTTTTACTTAATGGACAATAGGGACTTTTAGATTTGCACGAAGACAATGTGGATTGCTACGGTCGACGTCCTTTTAATGCACTGCCTTAAATGGACGTCACGTATCAGTCCACGCGAATCTAAAAGTCCCTAATATTCTAAATAGTGTGTACCGGTATTGTATGTACATGTATATTATAATCATTTTCAATATGTTGTTACACTCTTTGTAAAATGAGATAACGTGGAAACCAATAAACTATATATCTCTATCTAGAGCAAATGTGACCTAGGCATACATGTAACTGTGTTAGCTTTTCCTAGGGCTGCCAAATAATAAAAAGGTTTTATGACTGACAATTCAAGTGAAAATAATTATGTCTCTACGGTAAGCAAATCATAGAGTTGTATGACCGACACTGCTTAAAGTTGAATGTCACGAAGACCAAAATGTGTTCATAGATTTTCGGAGAAACCCCAACATAAGACCTCTGATCACTATTCATCGGTCTGTTGTATAAACAAATTTAATAATTACAAAATATTTGGGAACATCGGTGTATAATTCACTCACCTGGTCAGCTAATGATACTATACTACGAAGACAAAAGTGCAATCAGCGAATGTGCTTCTTGAGAATGATGAGAAAATGCATGAAGATAAAAGCCATTCTGATTCTGGAACTCACTACCGCAGGCCGCCGTCACCTG